GAAGGAAATACTTGAACATGTGAGCAAAGATTTAATCAATGGGAGTAATAACAAAGAAATTCAAGCAAGCATATAATATTCAAGGTGATCAAAGATTAGATGAATGATGGAGGGTAATCAAAACCCTAATGAAAGTTCATGAAGATAAGTATATTCAATCATGGTTGAATTGAGGGCTTTGGGGAATCCAAACTCAAATGGAAGCCCAAGCTATGTACTAAGGTGTTTTGAAAGTTTAATCACAAAGAGGAGAAAGAAATTATTTGAAAAAAAATCTCAGGGTTTCAAAAGAATAACCAAAGTATTTTCAAAAGAAAACAATGCCTAAATAAGGTATGTATCGAGTTCAAGTAAAAAAAACAAGTTATATGTTTTGAACAAGATTTACACAAAGTGTAAGATGACCATAAAGACATGTATGTACCATTAGGTTAAGAAAAAAATCAAAGGAAACCATGAAAAGATATGAAAAACGCCTTTAAAAGTCATGGTTTTCTATTTAAGAAAAATGACAAAAATAAATATTATTTTTGGAGTTTTCAAAAGGGATTATCAAAATATACAAGATAAATGAGAAGCGTAAAAAAATTGGCTCAAAAAGATCAATTTTTTTATGTGAAATAATTGTGTGAAGTTGTAAAAAAAATTTAAAGGAAAAGTGTTAAAAAAAATACGGAATGGTCCCACTAGGGGTTGAACCGACGCCCACTGGGTGGTGGGGTTAAAACTTTACCACCTGAGCCATGTGCTACGTGTGACAAAATACTACACGCATTGTATAATATGTGTTGTTTCAAGTTGAAAATGATGGAAAAAAATAAAAATGCAAAAGGTCTGTGGCGAGGGGGATTCGAACCCCTAGACCTCACACTTATAAGCCTCCCAAATACATGCTTTAACCATTGGGGTGGTGATACATCCGTGTATCAAACCACACCCAAATGAATATATTTTAAAACAAACTAAATTTCAGAAATGGCGCGACCACCACTATTGTCATTTTCCTCGTGCATCATCATCTTCATCAATTTTTTTCAAATTTTTAGCTCCCTTAATATGCAACCAAATTGAGTGAAATAAAAAAGAAAGTTGTTGGATTTTTCAAAAGGAATTGAATGGTTCTTTTCAATTTCATTTAAATTCAGTGTATTCAAATATATTAATTTGAAAATCGTATGAACCCTAATTGTAATTTTTAATATGAAATCTCATATAATCATGATAAATGGAAATTAATTGAGTGAAAGTGATCACAATATCATTATAAACCTGTCTATAACTTGAATGATCAAACTTGATGCATGAATCATAGAGTTCGGGTTTAGAGGGAACTTACCTAGCAAGTGAGAATCGAATTCTCTGTTGGAGGTGTTACATATGTGTTTTGATGATTCAGATAGCTTTCTTGACCTCCAAGGAGTGTGCTCCAATGCTTAGAATGGATGGAAACCTTCTGAATTACTTGCCTCGATTCAAACTGCAAATTATGATGTATGTGAAGCAAATGGCATGTGACTTGGTGATTCTGGTGTTATAGTTGAGGTTTGAGTTTTTGGATCACTTACACATCATGTATGTGTAGTGTTTTGATGTTTAGTTTGAGTGAAACACTACAAGAAAAAAAGAGATTTACGACACTTGAGTTGCGACAGTTATTACAAAACCGTCCTTATTTATGGATTGCGACGGTTGTCACGACAGTTAGGATCAACTGTCGTAGATTTTTTGCGACAGTTATCAAAAAACTGTCCTTATTCCTAGAATACGACAATTCTCACGACGGTTTGAGCCAACCGTCGCAAATTTTTTAGCCATGTTGTATAAAATAATGCGACAGTTACCAAAGAACCGTCATCTTTCCACACTCGCGACAGTTAAGGCGAACCGTCGCAATTACTTTAGCCAATCACAATCACTATTTTTTTATTCCTTTAATTTTCCACTTTTTTCTTTCATTTTTATTTTCTAACCTTTTCAATTTTATTAATTAATTTAATAAATAATAATTATAATAATTATAATTTTTATGATAATGTAGCTTAATATTTTTGTCTAAAGTAATAGTAAAATATTTTCTGTTTTATTATATAAATAGTTAACTTTTATTATAATTAATTTTGGTTGTTATTGTTCTTTGCCTCACAAATTGATATTAAATTTTATCGTAATTTATAACAAGATTCACAGTAATATTAGTATTACTTGTTTGTAATCAAGCTCATATATATTCTATTAGTCATCTAACAACCTTAATCATAAATTCATAACAATTATAATAAATTTTAAAACACAAAAGGTAAAAATATAAAAAATTAATTTTTAAAAATAATTTACATAAAATCATTAGTAATATATAAATATGTTTTTTGTAATTTAATTTTTATTAAATTATCATTTTACTATTTTCGTAATTTAATTTTTATTAAATTTGGACACAGCCAAACCATAACCCACCTCTCAACAATGGCGAACAACGAATTTTAATCTCTAGATTTAGGTTACGATCCCAACTTCTTTGTCAATTCCTTCAAAACCAAATCATCGTTCATTTCCTCTTCTCTATATATTTCTTCCACTCTCTCTGTGTGCGTGTGTAGTTAGTTACATATGTTTATTTATGTGCAGATCCAGGGCGGAATGACGACGTTGATTTCTTAGCTATCGTGGATGGATATCTGAAACCGGATGATAAGATCCGAATAACCTCCTCCAAGGTGCAAGGAGGTACAAATGCCAGTAATGCTTTAACATGTGTGGCTCGACTCGGTTTGAAATCGAAGCTTATTTTCAATTTTTTTAAATTTGTTTATATTTATTTATTTTCTGATATGCTGAAACTGATTGGGAGTGTTGAGTTTTTATTGAGGTGGTTGTTTGTATGTGTTTTCAATTAGGTTACTGATGATACTCAAGTAAAAAGCATATTGGAGGAACTTGAAGTGATAGGGTTGATACTTCCTTTATCGTTGTAAGATTCGGCTTGTGTGTTGTTTAACTATTTGTTTATTGATTTTAGAACTTGGAATGGATAATTGCTTTTTCTCTGGCGTGTGTTCTATGAAATTGGAATGATTATTATGCTAAATAAATACTAAATAATGTCTGCTACTTTGTCTTGGGAAATATGATTAGAAATGTCTGTAGAAAATTTACACAATTAGTGCCATAACCTATTTCTGTATTGTTATTTTAAAATTCATGTTAAATAAGTACTAAATAGCGTCTCTTCTACATTGTTTGTGACTCACAGAGAGTGCTCCAGTTTATACTTAAGGGTTAAGTTTAATCCATGAGGCAAGCTATTGGCATTTTTAAGGCAGTGATTAAAAAGGAACATTGAATATATACCTCAATAAGCCAGTCAATCAGTATGGACCTCATCCTTTCAATAATGTCAAATTTCTCAGCAGTATAATTAGGTGAGACACAACCAATACTCTGCAAGTTGTTAATGTTGTTAGTAATTCAAATTTGATTAGAAAGCAATAGTTAAAACGTTCTTAATGCTCAACCATATAATATTTCTCTTCTCTAGTGTTGATTGTAACTGCTTGTTTCTTTGATATCTTGTGATTAATAAAACATGTTACATGCTTCTCTGTTGTCTCTTATTGTATATAATTTAATTATGTTTTATTTGGATTTTAAGTATGACCATTAAGTATTGACCTGTTTTGAATTGCAAGATCCTGGAAATGCAAGGTTTGATTTCTGCTCTGGAATGATGTCGTAAACCTGTGATTACAAGTATGCGTGGAGGTTGCATTGGTGGTGGAACTGACATCATAACCAAGTGACAACATTTCTATGTGTTTATCTTTCAATTAACAGCCAAGATGTTGTTTTGAAATATGCCTTAAAGATGGGGACAAGGCTTTCATCAGCCTTTTGGTAAGTCTTGCATTTTTGTTATCTACACGAACAATTTTTAACTGGCCACTTAATTTGTTTAACTTACTATGATACATGCTGCTATTGTACTTAAATTTATAATGCTTCAAGACTTTCATCAGCCTCTAGGATTGTTGTTGTGATTATGAAACTGTAGACCGTTTTAACAAGGAAGTGTTGCACCCATCTCTTCAAGAGCTTGTGAAAACTCCGTTCTTTTGGTATTTTAAGGTTTGCTTGTTCTCGTTTCTTATGTCCCTATTTTGTATTTGCAGCCATCCTTTTTGATATTGTTGTTGCTTATAATTTAAGATCAATTAAAGCATTTGGTTTTCAAGAGACATTTTTATTGTATTTTCTACGACTATATGATTTTTACTTATCACCGGACTATTTTAAATTTGATTTCTTGAACAATTTGAGAAACTTGAAAGAACTCTAGACATTTTAAAGCATTAGAACCGAGTCAATGTGCTATCACTTAAGTTATCAACTGATCATTCTGCCTTAAGCTCAAACTATTTAACCAGGTTTATGGATTTTAATATCGAACGTTCTACCACTGTTGAGTAGGAAAAGTATTGTTTATGATATTGTTTGGTAATTGGTGTAGGATGAATGCTAATTTAATTTATACACAAAGTTTGAACTATGAATTGTGTTTACATGTCAATCATGATATTGTTCAACTATCATATTAATTATTGAGTTGCTTTCTATTTTCCCCGTTTGTCAACCCTCATTTGTTCCTTATGCGCTAAAAACTAGATGAAATTTTATGCAGGCCAAGCTATGGTGTGACTGCCCTTTTTGGTTATGGATTTGGGTTCTTACTAATAATACCTGCAGTAGCTATTGGTGTTTCACTCCCTTTTATCATTGGCTCAATCTTCCATCATAAAATTGAAGTATGTCCTGTGCCTTTGAGAGATTTTGTATGTGGTTTTTGACTCACATGTAGTAATTTGGATATGATGTTTCATGATTCTATGCAGGGATGATTAGAGAAGTATCCAAAGAAAGCTTCTATTCTAAAGTCTGCTGGCGGTGGAAGTAGGTTTCATCAGTTTCGTGTTGTTGCCTTAATCAGGATTTCTCCATTCCCTTACATGATCTACAACTTTTATGTTGTGGCAACAAATGTCAAGTACGGGCCTTACATAATTAGATCCTTGGTTGGAATAGTGCCAGAAATATTTGTTGCAATCTATACGTATGCACTCTCTCTCTCTCTCTCTCTCTCTCTCTCTCTCTCTCTCTCTCTCTCTCTCTCTCTCTCTCTCTCTCTCTCTCTCTCTCTCTCTCTCTCTCTCTCTCTCTCTCTGTCCTTGGTTGATATAGGTTTCTCACATTTATAATTGAATGTTATAGTTGAAGTGTTGATTTGAATAAATAGCAGTAGTATGCTTTTATTGGTAATGCACATGCATGGTGGTAAAGGCTTTGAACTCTGCAGATTAGGTATGTTTTCATGATTATTCATGTATGGTGGTTCAGTTTCTTTGAATGTTTGATGGAGTATTGATGAAATGTTGTTGTTAAATTGAAGATGGAATTGATTTGAATTTTAGTTTGGATAGGTTTTCTAACTGGTATAGTTTTTCCTCTATTCTGCTGCCTGAGTTGTGATAGTGTTTCTAACTGGTATAGTTTGGATAGTTTGGATAGTGTTTCTAACTGCTGCCTAGGATTTGACTGGCCCTTAAATATAGCCAGAGCATTAATATTATAAATGAATCTCTAATTCACTCATTCACCCATTGATATTCATCTCTTACAATACCTAACAAAATTGAATGTGTTTGAATTCAGTTTGTTTCAGTCTACTCCAATCCAATGGAGTTAGAAAAATAATTGAAATCTGCATTACCCCATGTTTTGAACTTAAAATAAACCATCAAGTCACAAATATGAACAACCACGTGGTTTGGTTTTGTGGTGACAGGTCCTATAAAAAGTTAACCTAATTTAACATCACTTAGATTTCAAATTGATGACATAACTATGATGTATTTGCATGGTATATAGTAACAAGTATTGTAAGATGTAACTGTAATTGTAATGATGATGATGTCAAATGAAAGGGACCAGATAGATATGGCTTTCAAGTGTTCCCTTTTACCTATATAGATTCGAAATATGTTTATTTTTATATATAATATTTTCATTGTTGTGTAGTTCAATATTGTGTTGTGCATGTCCTTTTATAACTTGTCTGCTTCCTCTTACTGTGGTCCCAATTATCTGCTTTCAATATTAATTACCTGCAAACTTATATTTACTATAATTTTAAAATAGAAGAATCTTATATTCAACTTTTCTACTACACATTATTCTGCCTCCTAAAGAATTTTGTAAAGTGTGTGTATCTGAGAAACAATCAAGGCATTCCTTTTAGAACTTTCTTCCATAATGAGAAGCTGAAATTGTAAATCTAATTAGAAACTTAAGATAGAAGAACTTATTAAGCAGCCAAAACACAAATCTCCAGACAAACACCAGAAAGTGTGAATGTCGTAGTTATAAGTCTCAGTTGTTGGATTCAAAGACTCGAAAGCAACACTGTTACTGCTAGCATGTTTGTCTAGCCATGTTATAATGTCTTCGAAGACCTTTTCGATGTTGTCATCAGGCTCGCCGGATGTTAAACCATGCCACAGTCCAAGGGAGTCTATTGAAATATATTAATATACATATAGGACCCAAATGGATTTAGCTGATGATTTTTTGGTTTAGGAATTGGTAGAATCTAGGAATATGAAGGAGGGTAGTGCAACCTATTTACGTAGTGGCAGTTCTAATAATAAAGTAGAAACAATTATTTTTAAAGTTAGTAAAAATCATGGATAGATTATTGTATAAATCAATGGTCCAAATACATTACTGTATTTTTTGAAATCAACTTGACCATTATTGTCCTGTATTGTGACAGTATTGGGTGGCCAGCTTGAGTTACAAGCATCCATTAGAACAGTTCCTTGTATTCTAAGGAATGTATTATTTAAAGGGATATAGATTTGGAAGTGAATCTTGTGGGATGACTCAACCAAGATCTTGGTTGTTGTAAGAAAGACACTACTGTCATGGCAACTTGAAGTACTTTTATTCAAGATAACATTTTGACATCATGCTGTGTTTAGTTGCCTTTTGAAAAAGATGTTACAAAAACATCGCAATAAGATTTTTCAAAAGTTCTTAAAAGAAATCATCGAATGTATTTTTGATTGTTTTTTGTTGCCGGCCTGAGGCCAGAATTCAGTTTCCAATGCAAGTTTTTATGTTGTTGTATAGGCACAGATGGACGGGTAGATTTGAAGCGAATCTATGGGATCACAATAGTAAGCTAGAGGGTCGTGTCAGGAAAGGGCGCCAAGGTTCTTTTCTCTATCTCTCTTGTTTTACTTTGAACTTCTTTACTAATTATTTTGATTTGAACATGAAATACTAGGGACACTAAGCTGAATTTCTTGTTTTTTCTTTGACATGGAATGACTTGGTGCAATTCTTGGCTCCTGTCACAGTGTATTTGGGTGAGAAATGTTTCTACTAAATTTCCTAAAGCGTGATATGGTTAATTAGTACATGCTAAACTAATGGTTAGGATTTTCCATAGGTGGCTATGACAGTGAAGAAAATGCAGCAAGGGCTTATGATTTGGCAGCATTGAAGTACTGGGGACAAACAGCTAGCACAAACTTTCTTGTAACAATCACTTTTATTATTCAGTTTAGATCTATTTTCAGCATATAATAACTGAAGTGCAACTAGAGTTGGTCTGAAATTTGTATAATTCTACTTATAGTCTTTTATTTATTACAGTAACAATTACAAAATACATACGCACATTTAATGGTTTAGATCTTGTACAATTAAGAAGTAGCAAAGGGAATTTATGATTTTGAACATTCCTATATTGAAACTTGCATCACTTAGCATATTTGTGTTCTCTAATGTCTTAGGTTTCCGATTATGCAAAGGAAATAGAGGAGATGAAACATGAAGGAAAGCGAGAATATATTACTTCTCTGAGAAGGTTTGTATAAGCTAACCCACTAATTATTTAACACTATAATTAAGTTCCTTGCCTAAAATTGTACCTTCTCTTTGCTTGCAGGAAAAACAATGGTTTTTATAGGGGGACTTCAAAATATAGAGGTGTTACAAGGTTTGAAATTTGAAACCCCCATATACTATCCAGTGATTATCATTCTCTTGTATCTCTAATGTTTTTTTAGTTTGGATCCTTCAGACACCGCCAAAGTGGTAAATGGCAAGCAAGAATTGGTCGAGTGGCTGAAAACAAAGATAGATACTTGGGAACATTTGGTAAGCTTTTTCATCTTCTGATATTAATAATTTTCTATTTTATACAATATAATTGGATTTAGAGAAATGCCTGATACTCCAGAATAACACTATTAGCTTATTCTGCTGATATTTTAACCAATCTCATAGATTTTTATCCATATATGTTTTGAGATGCCTTTAATTCACACACTCAGGACATTAGTAATTCTGAATCAACATTATCACACCGTATTTAAAGTTCAATATTCTGAATTTAAAGTTGAATATTCTTGATTCTTGTATGTTTATAGAAACCGAAGAAGACGAAGCTGCAGAGGCCTCCGACGTTGCAGCCCTAAAGTACAAAGGTGCAAATGCTATAACCAATTTTGATTCAAGTATATACAATATGGAATATATATCGAAGAATCCTATTCCAATTGGTCAAGCATCAAAACGCTTGAAACCTTCCCAAGAATCAGAAAAGAAAGCTCCTAGGAGCAGGACTGTTCAGCCTCCTTGTACAAACATGAGGAAGTTTTGCTTTTGGAAGACCGTGTTGGTGAAACCAAAAGATTAGCAACAACTAGAAGACTACAAAACTGATTATGAAGGGCTCATGATGATACTAGAAGACCACAAGTGATTTTCTTTATTGGTGCTAACTGGAAGTAATTTTTAAGCTTTTGTAGATGTTCATGTCTATCCTCTAAGGCAAAGTCATACCAAAGAATTCTTCAGCCATCGGTAGAAAATCTTGGATCATCATTTGATGTGGAAAATTGGGCAGAATATCTTGGATCATCATAGGTTGTACATTTATATTGATTATATTGTATATATCAAGTTATAGATTATGACATTTGATCATTTAGATATTCATAAGTATATATTTAGTAGAAAATATAATACTTTAAGTTATAATAAAATATCAATTTTTTGTAAGTTATATAAATTTATATATTTGTTATATGTGAGTCTTTATATATTTGATATACGTGAGTCTTTATATATTTGATATATTATCAAAAAATAATAATAGTTTAAATTAAAAAAACTATTGTAAAAAAATGAGATGAAAGTAATTTAAATAAAAATAGAATATTATTAAAAAAAAATTATAGATAAAATTACGACGGTTTAGACCGTCGTAACGAGTATAAATAATATTTAGAATTAGTAAATATAATTACGACGGTTGAAAACCGTCACAATATGGAGATTACGACAGTTAGCTACCCGTCGTGAAAATAAATAATACTTAAAATTAGTAAATATAATTACGACGGTTGAAAACCGTCACAATATGGAGATTACGAAAGTTAACTACCCGTTGTGAAAATAACGACGGTTTGTACGACAGTTTTCACAATCGTCGCAATACAGCCTCGCGACGCACGTTTCTGCGACGGGGTTGAAACCGTCGTAACTTACAAATTGCGACGGTTAAAACCGTCGTAATATGTCAAAATGAACCGTCGCAATTTGCCAATTTTCTTGTAGTGAAAGTGGACTGGTTTGAGAGTTCCAAGTTTTCACTCTTTAAGAACTTTGAATTTAGCAAGGAGGAGGAGTTGTGAGAAAACAAGCATTGCCAATATTTTGGTGTGATTATTTGTGAAGTAATTGACCTCTATTTATATGAGAAATGAGTCTGATATTTTGAATTTGAAAGGATTGGGATGCAAGCCCTTATCCAACAAGTGATGTCATGCACCTATAACTTGAAAGCCAAGTTACACATGGGCTATTCTTCACATGGCCTGAATTCTAATCTTTTGAGCTTGGTTCCTCATGGTTTCATCTGATCCCTTAAAGCTCTGATCAAGTTCTAACAGATTGAAGGATTTTTGCTCAAAATCACTATTCCACTTTAACGCTAGAGGACAAAACTTCACTTCATAGATTTTAAAATGATCATTTTCACATGCCAAGTGATGAATCTTTGAAAATTCAGTTATGCTTTGCAGAGCACATGCTTGTATGATCATTTGGGAGTTGATCTTGTGAAGATTTCAGGTTTACAAGACTTATCCAAATCGTGTGAAACAAACATGTTGCAAATCCATCTTGAAATTTAAGCTTGATCAAGCATTATTGTAACATTCATAACTTCTGTCTTAAGTAAAGGATTTGAATGTTCTTAATAATTTTGGAAAGTTGGTATAGTATACTTCAATTTTAATGTTTAAGGTTGCCCTTAAATCAAAGTGGATCATAGTGAAAAATAGCCCTAAAGTTGGCTTAAACACAAGACAGATTATGTCTAAAAGTTTCTAAGTGTCTAAGTTCAAAAAGTATTGAAACCCTACCTTCATGGCCTTATATCTTAAAATATATGCACCTTTTGGGTATCCACACTCATTAACAAAGTTGTATTATGTAAAAAGCTCTATAATTTGATCTTTGGATCAAAGAAAATGGTTTATTGGTTTGGAAGTTATGCCTTTGCAAAGTTTGCACCAAATTAGGGTTTTCTCATAACTTCGAAATTTTTTTCATTTCACCATGGTTGCCTTTTTTACAAGTAACCTCTCTTTTCTTGATTTCTCTTGATCAATCATGATCCAAATCATACTTTAACATCATTCTTGACTTGAAGAAACCATGGTTGACCAAAATCTTCAAAAGTCAAACTTGATTTTGACCATAGTTGACTTTTTGTATCAGATGAACTTTGAATGTGGTGATCTTTTATGAAATTTAACCTTAGGGCTAATTAAACACTATGGATGGACTTTGAAGGTGTTTTTGAGTGTCTTGAATCTTGTCCTAAGGTTTGAGATCATGTCTTGGTCAAAATTCAAATGTACAATTGACTTTTTATCAGCAACCCTAGTTTATAGTTCAGATGAATTTGAATCCTTGCATTGCTTTATGAATCAATTTCTTTGGATTAATCCAAACATATGAGGAATTTCAAGCCCTTGAAACATATATTGAGGTTTTGGATCATGCATTAATCCAAAAGTCAATAAGGGACTGAATTAGGTCAAAACCTTAATTTTGGTGTACTGGGGATCTTGAAACCTGATGAGCTTGTCATGATGTAATCTTGCACTTGATTATGGATGAATGGAAACTCTTAGTTCTTATGAATGAGTATGGGGACTTAAGATGTTGGATATGATGCAAATCCTTTGACCTATCATCGGCTTGAGCCTTTGAGGGACCACCTAACCTGTAAAGTAAACAAGCACATACACACACACACACACATCTTGTACTTGTTGTGTGTTAGTGATGCATAAAAACACACACACACATATGTTATGAAAATGAGGTGAATGAAATGGAATCTTAGGGGTAAAAAAATAGGGTATGACAGTGTGCAAGTGGAATTAGGGTTTTAGTTTTTCCTTTGTTATTTGTGATCCACTCTTATATCACCTTAATATATGAGTTGGATTGTGTTTATTTGTGACCCATTCATGCATCCCTTAGATGCTTGAAGTGCATTGAGTTTATTAAGTTGTAATTGTGAATCACTAATGAGATTTTAAGCAAGATTGGATTTTGTTTCATTGGAAGTGTGTCTTCTATTGTTCATTGTTATAAGTCTTATCATTGTTGTGTGATTGAAGGGAAGTGAGAGGGGTATCATATCTAGAAGTGTCTTAGATAGAAATAGCACGGGTAGTGATTAGGTGAGAAGATTGTAAACCGGAGTTTGTTTACTTAAGCTTCAAACTAATACTATTATAGTGGATTTCCTTCCCGGATTGGATGCCTCCAAATGTAGGTGATGTTCCACCGAACTGGGTTAACAATTGACAGTGTTATTTACTTCCATCCATTTAATTTAATTTCATAATTGTTTTGTGTTATGTTACTATCCTGATCCTAGTGTTGTAACATCGTACTCGACATCTGGTGTCTGATTACCAGAATTTCATTAAGGAATTGACCAATGTGAGGCAAAAGGTGGCTGAGATGATTACCTAAATAGGTTTAGGACAATGATATCAAGGTGCTTCACTCAGGTTCTTGAGTATGAGTTAGTAGAATTGGTTGTGGTAGGTTTTAATTATTGTATCATAAAATGCAATACACCCAATACTTAAGATATAAAGCCTTATTAGCATATAGAGTTCGACAAGTTGAACGTATGAAAGTTGAAAAGCCAAGGTCAAGTAAGTACAATAAAAAACAGAAAGTAACCTACATTGAGGTAGATGAAATAGAAAACTTATCTGACATGAACAATGATATTGTCGAGGAAAATGAGGTCAATGTGGAAGAGCTAAATCCTAAACCTCTATGTGTATGTAAATTTATAAAACCTTCGAACAAAAAAATTATATCGAACCCAAAAGCGAGAAATTTGTCATGAAAACTTATACGCTCGATATAAATAAATATGATGAGATTTTTTATCTTTTAGTCTCTAGTGGCCAAATCACATTCCCTAAAGGGTTTAAGACTCTGCCATTAGAGTAAAGAAAGAAAAAAGGTTTTTGCAAATTTCATAACTTCTTAGGTCATAAGACTTTTCAATCTGTGTTTTTCAAGGGCCGGGTTCAAATTACATTGAAAGACGGGAGGCTAAAATTTGTTGGCAAGCAAAAGCCTCAACCAGAGGAAGAGGCTGATCCCAAAATTGAAGAGGCTCTTCTTGTTGATCATGTTGATGTAATGATGGTTGATATCACCAATGATACAAAAGAGGCTGAACCCAGTTATGAAGAGCAAATGAAGTTATTTTTTCCCAAAGTTGAGGAAGAACTCATTGATTTTATAAATAGGTGCAAGCTTAAGGACTAAGAGGTCATGTTGTACGTGTGTTGTAACTCCGTTTTTGACAAGGAGACTGTAAAATAATTAGAAAAAACTAACCCCTATTAATTAAGGAAAGTTGGTCGACAAAACCAGCACAAGGAATTTTTCTTCAGTAAGAGGGGAATGCCTCGAAAAACTCAGAGACCTAAGACATATGTCCCTCTTACCAATCGTCTTCCTAGGTGTCGTAACTGCAAAAAAAACACCTGACAAAAACAAACAGAAGAGTCGCCACCGGATGTTATTTATCCCAAGGCAGGGAAAGAAAACAAAGAACAAGAAAAGACAAGGTCATCGGAACCAAATCTTGTGTTCGGGAGTCGGTTACGCAAGGGGAAGGTATGAGAACCCCTCACATCCGTTGTACTCAACGGGATCCACACTTATTGTCTAATCAAAGGGTGAGTTATCTAAAAGCTACTGCTAAATGGAAACAGGAAAGGGAAAAGAAAATGAAGACTCGATGGGACATCGCCGCCCTATACCTACGTATTCCCTCGTGCAATGGAAAAGTCAGAGTCAATGTAGTTCAGAAAACTACGGGTGATGGGGGGAGGTTGCTCGCCAAAACATCATTAATTTACTCGTCGGGGAATCAAGACCAATTTCTGCTTGGGGAAAGAAGTCAACAACATAGATCTTGTCGGGGAATAACCTTTAACCTTTCCTTGCTGCTGGGGAATAATCTCAATCTTACCCTGCTGGGGATAAGTGCACATCATTGCTGGTGAGATATCTCTGTTCTGACAACAATACTCTAGGGGGAGACAAAATCTCTACTATGAGATAGATGTCTGACTG